GTGCGCCGCTCTATCTTGCTGCCGTTGTCAGGGAAACGGCCCCCTCCTTTGCTACTCCGGCTCTGAATCAGAGCAAAGCTACTGCTTTAGGATTTCTGGCTTTTCATAGTTTTTATTCCGTTAAATTTGCGAAATTTGCCATTTGAACATTGTGTTATGACACAGTTAAACGTTTTAAACACCATTTAGTAAATAGAAGTTTTGAATTAGTATGTTTTTGAAACCCAAAGATTAGTACAAAAAGCTTTGCTTTTCTTTTTAAAGCTGCTGCTTATTTCTTAACTTTTTGTGAGTTGTGTTTGTTTTTATGTTTTTATTTTAGTTACAAAAGCCGTTTTTCAAACATTTAAATTAGAATCTGTGTTAAAAGTGATTATTGATTATAGACTTCGTCTAAAAAAGAAAGAGGGAATTAGTATTATTAAGTTGAACTGTACCCAATTCACCCAATTCACATTCAAGTGGTGACTTTTGTTTTTGTTTTGACTACACACCTGACCTTACTGCTGCTGATGCACACAGCAGAGGAGACTGGCTCTAAAATGTGCTCCAATTCATATTGACTTCATTTGAAAAATGCTGCAATTATTTTAAATAAGTAGAATAGATGCTGAGATAAATAAGTGTAAAAGGGAAAGTCCATAAAGTGAAACCCAAGGATGTTCAAGATAATTAAACACAGTACAAAAGTACATAATACATATTTTAAAGGTTGAAGATTTTTGAGATTTGAGTCTTGTTTTTTATTAAGAGAGTTTCTGGTCTTAAAATGTCATCATTAGTAAGATAATAAGTAATCTTTATTTACATAGCGCATGTTGAAAAACCCAGAGCGCTCCAAAATTGTTTAGACTTCATTCACATACTATTATCTGCTGTTTTAATTTGACTATAAGGTTGTGTTCCAGGACCAAGGGCACACACTGTACAGGGTCACTGGACAGCTGGAGTGGACACTGGACAGCGCAACGCCCACCCAGCCACAGGTCACAGATCAAAGAGCAAAGGGAAATGCCACCTCCTTGCCCCTCCCCACGCCACTCCAGAGCTGAGTGGGTGTGAGAGAGACCGGGGCCATGAAAGTGGAGGTTTCTGGAGACGTGATGGGTGGAGGCCTCAGGTAGAGACCTAGAGGCAGTTGGGAGTGTGTCCAGTTGGGTTACATCGACACAGTGTGACCTTTGAGACCTGCAGGTGGTTCGAGGAGTCTGGAGACACAACCCCAAAATTCACACACATACATACACACACACATACACTCACACATTCACATTTACATATAGATACATGAAAAAGCAAAACATGAAGAAAAAGCATTTTAAAAGTTTACTCCAACGTAAACAAATATTTTTAATTGTCTATCACTTTAATCAGTATTTTTTGAGACCAGAAATGTTCATTTGAATTCTATATTGTCATGGACTAATTGACCTCTGTCCTGACACTTTTGATTTGTTGATTTTGTACTGTGTGAAGTAATTACATTGATGAGAATTAGATCTGATAAAAACACAAATTAGAGAAGTAAACTGAATCATTGCGCTTGCTTTTGTCTGAGAGACATTAGCAACAGCATGAATAGAAATTGTGTTAAAGTAGAATTAAAATGACTTAACCATAGAGAGTAACTATTGCATAACAAGCTGTGTACAGGAACTGTGACACTGCACCATTGACCAGAAGTGCATCGCAAATGACCTGATGTGCTTCAAGTGAAAAGACTGTATCTGGAGATCCTTATGTGCATCTGGAGAGACCAAAACCATGGCTTGGACCCTACTGATGTCCAAGATGACATCTCTCGAAATATGACCTGACTTGATGACGACTGAGACTCACCCTCAGGGGACCCTGAGGACCTGAGGACCTGAGGACCTGAGGACCTTGGAGAGAAAAACTGGGGAGTGATGTTTATATTATTGAAATCATACATTGATGAGTGCTAAATGAGAGAGATACTCATGATTCTTTCTTTTGTTTTTGTTTATCCCTAGCTTCTGGACATCTGATGATCTATTGGACACAGCCATTTGCAGAACAAGAACCAGCCAATGAAAAATCGTCTATTGCTGATGCTATTGCTACAACCAGAACCTGTGACAAATGCAATATACATGTTAAGTATTCAGACATCTGACAGACAAAAACTTTGACTTTTTTGTCTGGGAGACTGAGCAACTGTTAAAATGTGTTAAAGTGATAAAGTATGAGTATTGTAGCGTTTTAGTAGATGTTAAATAGTAGTAAAAAAGTAGAATTGTCCTTTCTTTGTTGTTCATAAACACATTTCCACATAAGAGTTAAAATAGTACCCTACAATGTTATCCTTTTGATAGAGCAGCTAAAATATTAGAATCAGAATAATGTTAGAGATATTAAAAGTGACAGAAGTCACAAATTAGGAATATGCCGTTGCTCAAACTGCAACCGAGCTTTAGAGTCACAATAGTGTAAAAATAGAGATAGATAAATGCATCAACCATAGATTCTTTCAAAAATAGAGATTATTTGTAGCCAGTGCTAATATCAAATGGTAAAGGGACCATTTCACAAACATTTGCTTCAAAAATAGATAAAGTTAATTACAGTTTTATGTACAGTTTTATTAGATACTGCCAAATTCACTTGTGTTCAAACATGAGTGAATGTTGACAATGCAAAAAGTCCATATGAGTGTAGTCTAGATTAATGCCTAGATTAATGAGATAGATTAGAACCAACAGAGATTTGACAAAAGCATTTAAAAGCCATTCCCAAACTCAGTAACACCGAGGCCCCCTTAAAAATCTGACGGGTCTGCGTGGCCCCCCCAAAATAATAACCAAGAAGACAACATTAAGAATAGGCTCTTCTGGTTATTTTATTTTGGGGAAATTGCTACAAACATTGTAATACAAAAATGATTACAGTGGATTATTATTAAGTCAAATAATGAACACAAATATTTTAATATTACAAACAAAACATTATAAATTTAACATTAAATAATTATATTATTATTATTTTTTTTTTTTATGACCTCCCGCGGCCCCCCTGCAGTACCCTCGCGGCCCACCAGGGGGCCGCGGACCCCACTTTGGGAGACACTGCTTTAGATAATAAAAAGTAATAAATCACTGACCACTATAGAAGTGTAAATGTTGACCATTTGCCTTACTGTGTTCACAGTTTTATTCCTGAGAATGTAGAATAGACAGAGCAAAATCCCACTGATAATAAGCCACTGATAATGAGAGTATAATACCACCACAGAGAGATTTATTAGATTAAAATGTATGTTTAAGAATATGGCGCAAAGCAAATATGCAAAAATATTTGTAAATAGATTAGAATAGTTTTAAACTATAGTGAATAGTGAAAGTAAAGTACACAATCTAAGATTAAAAGTGAGAATAATACAGTGAAATAAGTGTAGTGTAAACAATTAGCATTAGAATAAAAGTATAGAGTAAGAAAAGTGAAATTAGCTTCTAATTTGAGACTCAGCTCGTTTTTGTCTGTTTTTTGACTGAATCTGCTGAGTTCTTGTGTGCCCAATAGTGTTTGTTTGTTTGTTTTTATTTTTGATTTGTTTGTTTGTTTATTTTTTCCCAGGATAGAGGATAAAATCCACTGATATTGATTTGATGATTATGAGTTTAATGCATACATTTTCTTTGTTTTTTAATAATTTTTTAAAGTTTTTTTAATACTGGTTTACATGGAAAAATCCCTATTAAGTTGCATTATACTGGTTTACATGAAAAAAAAACCCTATTAAGTTGCATTATACTGGTTTACATGAAAAAACCCTATTAAGTTGCATTATACTGGTTTACATGGAAAAATCCCTATTAAGTTGCATTATACTGGTTTACATGGAAAAATCCCTATTAGGTTGCATGATTACACTGAAGTCCTTGAAACTGCTGAAGTCCTTGAAACTGCTGAAGTCCTTGAAACTGCTGAAGTCCTTGAAACTGTTGAAGTCCTTGAAACACTTGAAATCTTGAAACTGCTGAAATCCTTGAAACTGTTGAATCCTTGAAACTGTTGAATCATTGAAACTGTAGAAATGTCTGAAAGAGCTGAAGTCCTATTAAAATGCATGGGCCTATTAAAATGCATTGCAGAATTCTCAATGCAGATTTTTGTCCGATTGCGGAAAAACCGGAAATCGCTGAAGTCCCAAAAGTAATAGCAATAATCTCCCAAACAATGTGGAACGTTTTGATGTATAACTTGTGGAAATTGTTGAAAATGTGAAAGCTGTGAAACGTGTCAAAAAAAATGACGGAATAAAGAAATACAAAACCAATGGTTGACTGCGGAAGGTTCCGCAGTCAATCAAATCTGAAAATAATACAGTGAAAATAAGTTAAGTGTAGTGTAAACAATTATCATTAGAATAAAAAGTATAGAGAGTAAGAAAAGTGAAATTAGCTTCAAATTGAGACTCAGCTCGTTTTTGTCTGAGTTTTGACTGAATCTGCTGAATTCTTGTGTGTCCAATAGTGTTTTTGTTTGTTGATTTTGTATTAGTTTGTTTATTTTTTGTTTGTTTCCCCAGATTGTTGATTTTGTTTTGATTTATTTACTGCAGATACAGTTTTTGTTTTGTTTGTTTTCCAGTGCACACATAGAGTTCTTGGATAAAACAGAACTGACAATTGATTGTGATGATTATGGAGTTTTAATGCATACCCTATTTTCTTGTGTTTTAATAATTTTCTAGGCTGAGTTTACACGGAGACAATGTGGCAAGTAAAACGGTATAGTTGGATGTCGGTTCCTACCAACCGTTCATACGAAGACTGTGTTCCAGGGGGGTGAAAACGTAAGTGTTCAGATCCAGCCTGCAGAGTGGGACAACTCAGATACGCTGCACAGCAGGGAGCTTTTTCACACCCGCGAGAGGGGAAAAGGTGTGAAATCCCCCTCTGCTCTGACCCCCGCCTCCGCGCTGCTCCCCGCACGTAAATTTGGACATGCGCAGTAGCGGAGAACAAACATCAACAACAATGGCGCCGCCCACACAAACTAGCTACGTGGGCTTCCAGCGCGGGACAGAGGATCATTCTACTCCTTCGTTCGTCCAAACGAGACCACGCGAAGCTCTAGGTTCAGTTCCCATTTTCCCAGATGCTGTTAAAAAGCAGAATGATGTTGGTGCGTTCTGAGGGTCTGGCACAGGAAGTGAATATACTGCCGGGAGGGGGGCTGGGGGTCGTGTGTCGTGTTGTAAAGTTTCTCTGCCCACTACTGGCCGGGCGCTAGAACTACATCGTTTTTCAACCTCATGTGAACGCAGAGAAATTTGCATTAGGAGCCTGGTCGTTTCTGTTAATAGCCTGGAAACGTCTGCGCAGCGTCTCAGTATAAACAGGGCCTAAATGACTATAGATAATACCACAGGGTTGGCCAGTAGAGTATGGACAGTAATATTTTTAAAGTAAAATTGTCAACCAAAGATTTAGGTTATAAAAACATTATGACACACACAATTAACAAATCATTAGTCCTGATTCAAAGAAAAACCATTGTTCCTTATTTTTGGCCATGAGAAAATTATAATGATACTTTTAGCCTAAATCATGAAATGATGTACTATAGAAAATATATATTGTGAAAGGAGTGTGAAGCCCTATCTCTATGATGAGTTAAAACAACTAAAAAAACAGTTGATTTGCATAATATTTCACAAAAACTTTTTCACATTCTCTTGGCTGAGCTTAGATCAGCACCACCAGATGGTAGCAAGGTGAACAATCCAGGATCACACATTTCTTAAAATATGTATCAAATGTGTGTATGTTTTTTACTCACTTAACAAACCAGATGCAAATATGACCACGTAGCTCCTGTCCTCTGCTCCCTCCATTGGCTCCCATAAACTCTGCGGTTCCAAGGATACACCACCTCCACTCAACCTTCACCTACTGCCTCCACCAGCCTCTGGAACGCCCTCTTAGAAACTCTGGGGGCACCTCAGTCTGGAGGTCATAGAAAGACGCTTAAAAACGTTCCTGTTTAAGCAGGCCTATGGGCTTTTGAGAGCGTTTAACCCTTTTACCCCTGTTTATTTGATATATGATGTACTTTGATGTATCTTTTATTTATTATTATTTATTTTTTTTATCACATTTGAATATTGTTATTATATTATTATTGTTATTGTTGTTCTTTCTTAGTCGGAGATGACATTGTCAAAGGCTGTGCCACCAAGAGCATGTGTGTGGATCCTTCTCCGCTGCTGTTGTCCAAAATAAGGCCTCTGGATTGCTGTGAGGGAGACTTCTGCAACGGGAGCACAAGCATCAGCACCAATCTCCTGCTGATCTCCACCATGGTACTCTCACTATTGGTTTGGTCAAACTAAAACCTCTTTAACTTCACTTCCTGTTGCATCAAGACTCTCAAATATGTGTCAGAGTTTTCGTCATCCCATATGCCTAAAATACTTAATGCTCTTGAAGTAACATCAATTGTTTTTGGGGGACATAAAATTTTTTGAAGAACTGTGGTGCATTGTTTGTCTTCTTGGACCTTAAAGTGGTTCTCACCCCCGCTCCTCGGAGCTTACGTCACTCACATTTCCTGTTCAAATCTTCCTCTAAATGGGCGTAGCCTGGAGGACTAAAGGGGGCGTGAACGAGACTGGGCCGTTTACATTGCTCTGGGCGGGGGGCTGCTGACGTCAGGTCTTGCTTCAGACGTCAGGTCTTGCTGCCGCGCCAGTGTTGGCGCCAGATTCAAAATTCAAATGTAGTAATACAGGTCGCCAGCAGATGGCGCCTCACAGACGGTTTTAGGCAGAAAGTTTAACTTTCAACTAATTTGCACCAAAGTGACAAAAATATGACCAGGATATGTAGACAACACTATTGGACACTCATTTATACAGTTTATCAGCAAAAAAAAGTGGTTTCGAGGGTGTGTTGTCCTTTAAACTCTGATAAAAAGAATATCCTTTAAAAGTCCATTCACTTCTGTAATTCAACTTACAATGTTAAACAAATACATGGCAGACTCATTACACGCAAAGTGAGATATATCAAGCCTTTGTGTCTTATGAAGTTGCGAATTGGCCCAGGCTGGTCAAATCAAACCTTCCCAAAATTGTGAATATTTTGGAAATGGACGATGAGCCAGAATTATCAACAAAATAACAAACACAGGCAAATGTCACCTTATTCTATTTTTTCAGTTGCATTCTTTGAAAATAAATGTTTCTTTAGAATGTGAAATAATGTCTAAGGGTACCTTGTTTTTAAACCACAAAAATAAAGCTATGCAATAACATTAGTGGTGGCTGGGGAAAATAATCTAACATTATATCTGCTTAAAGTTGTTAGCTTCTACTTTGTCCGTTTAGAAAATAAGCCATGAACCACATTTTAACAAACAGGCAGCTTGCATGTGCACAATAGGCCTATAAAAACAGTAGAAAAGTGTCTGATCAAACCACATCAGCCTGTGTTTTATATCCTGCTCTGAATGGTCCTTTGGGCTGGAAGGTCGTGGGTTCGAGCCCACCTCGGGACCTACTCCAACTGCTCTCACTAACGTCTACTGTTGTTGTGTCCTTGGGCAAGACACTTAACGTCACATTGCCTGAAGCTTGGTGCCATGAAACACCAAGGCTGTGGCACTACCGATGCAGCAGCCATCTTCCTGTGGACTCACCACCTTCAGAGGATCAGCGAGGGACTGGTGCTATGAGCATTAAGTGGCAGCTCTTATTGTCACCCCTCCGACCCAGAAATGGACTAATAAAGGGGTAGAAAATAAATGAATGAATATCATGCTCTGAAGGCTGTATGAAACAAAGCAAAGGTACGGGCTCACAGCTCAGGAAACAGCTCTCACTCGGCGTGTCTGTCCAAAAATGGCAAAAAATGGCCCCTCCATAGTTCTTATTGCTTCTTTTACTGAGGTCAACCTTAAATGTCCCATACAGTATTCCGCTCTTCATTTTTCACAGTCCATTCTAAGCACATAAGTGATGATAATAATGTGGCTGATACACCATACAACACTTATATAGCCATTTCTTGTATAGAGGTGACGTATGGATCTTTGCTTCTATGCCTGTGATCCTGCACCCCCCACCCCCCCACCCATCACGCTAACCAGGAAGTAAAAAAATCACTGTGAAAGCTAACTGTTTATTTTTCGCCGGTACATAGTCATTTCAGACCTGAGAATAATTTTTTTCTAACAATAGCGACCCGTCACATAGAGCCCTATGTCCTCGATCCAGAATCAGGCCCTGATTATTTAGTTCACTGTAGAATACCCCTAGTCAGTTGCATTGTACTCACAGGTCGAGGCTCTCTGTTAACGTCTTTTATTGTGGGAATAAAAACAGGTTTCAAGATCAGCTTTTTGAGTAAGTCCCATTTCAAGGTAACTGTAGTTCTGGAAACAGTCTTTGGTCAAGTGTTGCATTGTGGATTTCAGAGGCAGAACCCCGTGAATAAAATCGATCCACATTCACCTCATTCTTTGTCTTCGGGCCGAACACTGTCATTCCATATACTGACATCCAAAAGATAATTTTCTCCAAGTCACATGATGCCAACACAAAACAACACAGTCTATGGGTGGTAGGCGCGGGACCATACTAATATTTACAGTAAATGGACCAGAAGCTGGACTCGGAGAGAGGCTGCATGTGATCATCATAGACTGCGCTGATTTGCTGTTTTGGTTTCTCCCCGCTGTCAATCATCTCCTGGAGGCGGGCTTCTCACATCACAGTTGGAATCGAGTTGTTTTGCTGGCTCTGGAGAAAGAAAGAGATGGGTGTGAAAAGTAGCAAGAGTGAAGCAAAGAGTGTGGTGTGGAAGCGGTTAATTCAGGAATGGAGACAGGGACCTCAGGAAGGCATTTTTATCCCATACAGAAAGTGGTGAGCGATGGCAGAAGGCAGGGGGGCCATCGGAGGGAAGAAATTGTCATGACTAGGCTTAGATTGGGGCATTGTGCGCTAAATAAAACACTGTGTATTATGGACAAATCGCCACTACAGTCTGGCTTTATTGAAGTTTATTTTTATTGTTTTTATGGTTTTTTCCCTTTGTTTCATTTGTCTCCTCTTTCATTAGCACTTACGTCACTATTTGCACAAACGGATCAGAAACTGGTGCAGATGAGAGCAGGCGCCAGTAGTGAATTATGTTTCAGTGAAACCACAGACTTCTGTGCACTGGATCACTGTGACTTTCACTATACATAACAAAGCCCTCAATATATCTACTAGAAATGCTTTCATGTGGTCTATCTTGAATTCTTGTGTTTAGTAGAAGAGACAGGGGATACTTGTCACAGTCCAATAGTTCAGCAACCATAGCATTGTATTGTTGACAAATTGTTTGCTGACACTCCAAAAGTATGTGGGAATTGTTTGTGTTACTAACTATGGCACAGTGGGGCAGTGGTTAGCACTTTCACTTCAAAATCAAAATGTCCCGGATTCGGTGGGTGGAGTTTGCATCTTCTACCTGTGCCTTCAGGTGCTCCAGTTTCCCATACCACTAAAAAGCGGTTCAATAGGTCCGAATGTCTTGTTGTCACAGTGTGGAAGGAATGGAAATGTATGACCTCTGAAATGTGCTTTATATTTAAATATTATAATGGCTCCTCTCTCCCTGGGGCCAGGACTCTCAGTGGGACATCCCATGGTATACCATTATTATTTTTATTTTATCTATTACATACTTACTTACTACAGAGAGGACTAGTTTTTTTGGGGGGGATTAATACCAAGATTTTGTCCATAATTTTTTTTGGTGTGTGGAAATTCAATGTATTCTTGTGCTCTGACAGGACCAAACATTAAGGTCTTGTATTTAAGCTAAATCTTGAGACAGATGAATGACGTGACGGTGTCTGATTCTGGACCAGTCATTTCTACAAAACTGTGAGACATAAATTCTTCCCCTCGGACCCATGACGCCATCTCCATTAGAACCCTCTTGTCGCTAAGTGAGTTTGAGGAAAAATTACATTACAATATTTTTTATTTTTTAATCTTTTGAACTGTTTGCTCAGCCCTACAGTTGCTAGGGATGTTTGCAGCTAGCCTGGTCTTGTCACGTGATAAATACCATGCAGGTGGCAATACTTGTATGTGAAAGCCAGATCCTGTCAGACCCCTGAAGAATGCATGGCCTTGCGGAATCTGACCTGCATGTTTTCTTTGGACTTCCGTTATATATCTGTATTACTGCTAAAACATTATTATCTAAAGAACCAAACGTCTTTTTTCTGACCCACATTGTTACTAGTGTCAATATCTTAAGCATGCGTCATTCATATCTCAAGTGATGACGTTTCATATAAAGAGCTTTGTCTTCTTTTGTTCTGACTCGACAATAAACCGGGTCACAGGTGCGATTGGGTTACAGGTGCGATTGGGTTACAGGTGCGATTGGGTGCGACCCGTTCATTGCTCAGAAGACTGTAACCCATTCATTTCTCATTTCTTAGAAGACAGAGAACAGATTTGGTGGAGGAGGCGACGTTGATAAGGAGCGCCTCTTGGCCTTGTTTTTTTTGGGTCCTTTCATTGAGAGGGAGCAACATGTTATCTGCAGCCTTTCACATCCCAGAAGTCTGCATTTCTTGGGCCTGGACTTGAAAAAAATCTGAAAAGACGTTTGGTTGACCAGTACTTGGATCTGGTTTGACAAAGAGAAAAGGTAAGAGCTGCTCGCCGTCTCTGTTCTCCGCTGCCCTCTCGGATGTTCTCTCCACCGCAGTCTTCGCACCATCAATCGGCCTCACCTCTGGCGCATTTTTTCTGTTATGGATATTGATCACAGTTTCGTTTTAAGCAGGTACTATATTATTTGCTACGTAACTTGATTTTTATTGACGCTCTTCTCCAAACACAATTAACAAGTAGTCCTATTGAAGCAAATCATTGTAAAAAAAAATATTGAAGGGATATATATATTTGTTCCACTTTTGTATCTTTTATGAAAATCATCTCAGGCACCCGTGGTGGGATCCTGCGACACCCCGGGATTACTTTGACAACCACTGGTCTAAAACTTAAAAACAAAACAAAATTACTTGAATCTTTGTCAAGTAATTCAAACAAAAGTGTGAATCTTTGTCACAAAAGGTTTTGAAATCGGCCGATTCTGGACTTGATTTTAGACTAGTTTAAAGTACTTCTGATCACGCAGTCTCGCCTAAATCACTGCTTTCCAGCCTGGGTGCGTGCGTGTGCGTGTGTATGTGTATGAAGCTGTGCGTTGCCAGGGTAATGGTCCCACCCTTGATCGCAGCAGCTCTCTCTCTCTGCTCTGAAGTTTGTGGCTCTTGGGCTTTTTACTGTTTTTCCATTGAATTTGCCTGATTTGGCATCAAATGTAGGTTTGTGATACCATGAGAAGTTTTTAAGCACCAGAAGTCAACAAAAGTATGTTTTTGAATACCGCCTTAGAACTAAAAGACTTTCCTTACTTTTAAAACTATAGCTCAATATTGATTCAATTTTTGCATTGCTGTTATATTGCTTAATTGTTTGTGAGGATTGTAATTATCTTTATTACACGAAAGCAATCGTTCAAAACATTCATTTATTTATTGTTTATTTGGTTGGGACAGTACTACACCATAGTACAAATTACATTTTGTACTAAGGTCTGAAGGTGCTCCATTGAGCTCCATTAACAGGTGGGAGGGGATAACTCTTTTTGCAGATTGAAACGATTGGATCTGAGTTTACCGTGACGTATGTAATGTGCGCGAGTGAGTTGATAGCATTTAGCCTAGCCATCTCCTTTGCCGCTAACGAAACCCGTGGGGAGTAGCACCAAACTCTTTGCCAGCAATTTGTACATTTGCTAAACATTCCTCTTGCTCCGGCTTCAATTTCCTAATAGAACCAGACTGGAACACTTTACTATCGCATTCTTTGCCTGTGCCAAAACTACAACCTGCCCGTTCGGTGCAAACTCTTGACGTCGCCCACATCTAACTGCAACACCCGTCTCCCGTGCTCGCTGATTGGTCGGATGGAATTCAACCAATTGTAATTGCAAACACAGGGACCAGACCCAGACGTTTTATGCAGGAAAACTATAATTGAGGGGCGTGTACGGATGGCGATGGCCAGGCTAGGACATGTTGATGAACACATCACTCCGGATTGTAACCATGGGCTAATTTCCATGTGTGTTTGCACTCATAAACACACATTCATTCACCCAGAACTATTTTACATGTTATGAGTGGTAGGGGAAACCGGAGTACCCGGAGGAAACCTATGCAGAACATGCAAACTCCACTCAAAAGGCCCTGTTCCGAAACAGGATTCGAACCCAGAACCTTCTTGCTGAGAAGCGAGAGTGCTAACCACTCAGCCACTCTGCTGCCCAAATTAAATTTAAATTTAATTAATCCAAATTAATTTAAAATACATTTTAATTACATTTAATTTATTCTTGTTTAGCCGTTAATCACAACAGAAGTTATATCGGAAGAAAACCGACACAGATCAGAGAATTAAAAAGTTCACACACAAGAAATGCAATGATTAAAAAACCAAACACATAGCGCCATTAATCCATAAGATAAAATATACTTTATTGATCTCACAATGGAGCAATTTACATGTCATGTAAATTTACATTTGGCATAAATAGTATCACTCAAGGTGTGCAAAAGGCAGGACATGCGCAAATAGGAAATACAAGTGGGATTTTCCCTTCTCTACTTCTCTATTGTCCATTAACACGTTTGCCCTTATGAGCTAAAATCATAGCTATACAATGTAATCTGTCTAATACCATCATCAGATCATCAGGATTAGAATAATAGAATTATTGCCATTGTAAGTGACAGGAAGTCACAAACTAGTTTGCACCTTGCTTTGGCTCAAGGTGCAAACAAGTTGTAATAGTAAAGATAGAAATAGATAAAAGCAAATAATTTATGTATAGCCCTTCATCACAACAGTGGTTATCTAGGAGGACTTTACAAAGCTTTCAATTTTACAACACAGATCAGAGAATCAAATTCAGAGCAACTGTCCCCAACATCATGGATGACCTGGGAACATAGATTAGCCCTTGATATGATTTAAACAGCTCTAAATGCTGAGTGTTCATCTCAGATAACACACTGCACCTGTCACAAACAACTCAGGAATCCAGGATGGCACGTTGACACTCTGGTTCAGCAATGTTTGGATCACTGACCGCCATAATTATGTCCATTTTAACCACAGAGTAATTGTTCTGAGGATCTTGCATCTCAGACTTCTGATTCAGAGCTATGTAAAAACAAATTCAAGTCCATTAAAATTATTAAGATTCAAGGAGTTCAAAACAGGCCAAGAAACACAATATGTTTATTTGCTTTGGCTGATGACACACATTCTCCTGCAGCTGAATTATGAATGATTCTTCAAATGGAGGTGTATCTTCTTCATTCTGCAGTCTGAAACTTCGTGCTATTTCCTTTTGTTCAAACCGAAGCCTTTAGGCCGTTTCCTTTGCATTCACTTTTGTTTTACAAGGAAATTGCTTCTTCTCTGTCTTTTCAGATTCAAATGTTTTTTCCTGGATATTTTAGCTGCATTTGTGAAACAAGAGACTTAATCATTTTCAATGTGGTCATTTACACACGTAGACTCAAAAGAATGGATGAACAAAATGAACTACATTAAATAATTTAATAAATAAAATAAACGCAGTGACTTTGCATTATTTTATTTTTAAGCTATGGGCTCAACATTTATATTATTTTACAAAGAATATAAATTACAAAGAATTAATTTATATAATTGTTATTAATTGAGCCCATAACCTAAAAATAAAACAATGCAAAGTCACTGCATTTATTTTATGTATTAAATATTATATTATTATTAAACATCAAATTAAATTCTGTAAAATTAGAAAATAAATTTCTAAAACAAAAAATCTAAATACTTAATTTTAGACATACAGTATATTCCTCTTATTTCAACTCAAATTTCCAATACACAGAAATCTATTTTTTTGTTTTGTCAACATTTTTTTCAAACATTGATCTGGAATTCTTTCTGTATGAACTGTTTAGAATTTTTAAAAACTGATTATGCTAAATCTTGCTCACCATGTTACAACTACATCAAGAACAGACTCTGGTTCCACACTTATATTATTAATTTACAAATTACCAGCTAAATAATATATTAAAATATTATTGTAGTATTATAATAGTATTGTTATTGAGCTAAATATTTAAATACAAAATTATTTCCTTTAAAAACATTTCCTGTTCAGTCAAACAGGGACAGAAACTTAACCGATCAGCATTACCATCCATCCATCCATCTACATTTTTTTCCCCTTATTCCATTTCTGGGTCGGGGGGTGGCAGTCAGAGCTGCACCCAGTTCACATTAGTGGGAGTCATGAAGTAGGCCTCGTGGTGGATTCGAACCTACAACCAACAGGTACAAAGGCCGATGCTCTACCAACTGAGCCACTGCCGCATTACATTCCTGAACTTTTGTTATTGACCAAATACTTATTTTCTGGATTCATTTCCCATTCGGTCTCTCATAGTTGAATTATACTGTACCTACGATGAAAATTACAGGCCTCCCTCATCTTTTTAAGTGGGAGAACTTGCACAATTGGTGGCTGACTAAATACATTTTTGGCTCACTGCATCTTTACTGTTTTTGTTCCAACAAAAACAGTAAAACGTATCATTTTGTGAACAAATCGGAGGACATTATGCTGTCTTCATGATAGTATTTTGCGTACTTGAAAGAAAGAGCCCTGTGAGCTCTTTGGATTGTGAGCTGAAAAGAGAAGCCATGTGAAAAGTAGTGATAACACCAAACACCAGTATATAGTTGATACTTTGTGACTTAAAAGTGGCTTGAGATTATTTTATCTTTTTCAATTCTTTCCACTATTTAACTGTCTTCCTATTATTGAAATATGGTTCCAGTTTGTCACAGCAGCTGCAGCAGTAGTGAGACAACACAAAGTTCTTCAGAGGGAGTGGTTTCAGAGGATAAAAGCTCCATGGGGCAGCAGACGCACCAGAGACACCATCTCCAACATGCATCTGTTCATCCTCACCGCCGTGCTCCTGCTGCTGCCACAAGGTAGGACACTTGTCTTTTCTCATCATGGTATATTGGCTGACTTAATGAAGACATGTTGTGTTGGCTTTGACCCATGATTCTGTATCGGTTACTAAAATGTATTCCGAGTTTATTCCTGTTTAGTCCCTGTTCAATATATTTTTTCTTTTGTTGAAATAACCACGTGATTATTTGAATAAAAGCAAATTCCCATTCCGAGTGACAATTACAGACATCAGGAAGTGCAGTCTGTGTTTCTGGAGACTAAAGAGAATCTCAAATGAATATCAAACCCACTCACCTTGTTTATAAAACCGTAAAACAACATTTTGCTTATTCCATTTACCAAAGTAAACTTATATGAAGGTATAATGGGGTACCCCTCCCTAGTGCCAGGCCCTGCCCTGCACTAGAGCCATGCTAGCCACAGAATTATTAAGTAATTAAGTATTTTTACTTAAGTTCTGTGCTTAAAATCATTTTTCTTTATTATTTACTTATTTTTTAACATTTTAGTTTGACTCCTCACTTTTAATCCTTTTCCCAAATATCTGTAATTTTTACTTACATCTTATAATGAATAGCTGTTGTGCCGATGGCGACATGTTTGAATTGGTTATCCATGCTTCAAAGTGAATCGATTTGTTGTGGTTAGCCACACTTCTAACTTAAAGCTGGATTACCTCACTTTATTTTTGAATTTATTAGGAATATTCTGTCCATATCCATGCAGTGCATTGGGATATAAGTCCTTTTGAAGAATAAATAGCGCAGGTTTGTACTGGAGTATCATTTTATTTTAGATCAAGTTTTCGCTATTTAACTATTATTATTTTGGGACCAGATTGTGACCAATCACAGCGGACCACTGGCCCCCACTTTCTTGAAAACTTGCCCACTTGCTTTTCGTCCTGTTTTGTTTCAATCCAAGCAGCTGGACTCATTTTATTCCTTGAAATATATTAAAATGATATCAAACCCATGTTCAAAACAACTTCATTATTATAAATAAGTCAAAGATACAAACAATTAACTCTGTTCTACAACCCCAAACTTACACTAAATACTATAGCAGTGTATTACATTTATCCAGGAGCTAAAGTGCAAAAGTAAAATAGCGTGTGCAATGTTAGTGGTTTGATTCTGTCTCTGCCGTGCATGGATCTGTTTGCCTCAACGTTCATATATATTCCACACTCACAAACACGTACTAAATATACTCCTTATGTGGCCCTGCTTCGACCTCGTGTGGCTCCTGGATAAACAAGTTTGAGACCACTTCTTTAGATGATTATTAGAGAATTATTGGGATTACAAAGCAGTGAGCAAGATGTTAACATTATAACAAATAAATGATTGATTTTGTTTTACATTGTAAGTTGGATGCATGGTCCGAACCACGTAGATCAAGATAATGCAAAAGAAGTATGCTCTTTTAAAAAAATAAACGCTAATAAAGCATTTAGCATTTCACTATGGACCAGAAAATGGTCTGAACAAAACAGTCTCTACATTCATCAACCAGAGGAAAGGAAGCAGCTCATCACCAGCGTACACCCTCTCTGTGCTGTGACCTGAAGTGCTGATGGACTTTATTACGATTGTTTGTAACTTTTAGAACTATGTATTTATTTGTTTTGTTCGTATAGATGGGTTTCTATGGCTGCTCACCTGAATGTATGCTATGGGGATCAATAAAGTATCAATCTATCTATAGATACTAGACAAAGAAATGGTTACAGAAGTAAACAGACTTTTGAACATTATTCTAATTCTCCAACCTGTTTCATATTTAAGTCTCTCAGCTATCCTGGGAAGCCTCTGGGGTAAAACTTATATCAAGTTCTTTTTTTGGCATTGGGGCTTTAGTCACTAAGGAGCGTTGCTTCAGTCGGGTGATGATGTGGTGAGCTCATTGTGATTGTGTCTCCACAGCTTCAACTCTGAAATGCTCCGAGTGCACAGGCAACAGTGGCTGCACTGAAATGCAGTGTGCGGCTGACAAGAATCGATGTGGAGCACTCCGGATGAGCACTTACGCTGGTGAGGGAGGGCAATCTGCTCTAACTGCTGGGAAATAAAGTGATTTACTGCACACAGTGATGAAACCCAAACTTGTGTTTTGCAGGAAGCACGGAACTCACCGACATAACAATCAAATCCTGTATTGCGCCGCATGACTGCGTCCAAGGCTCAATGAACATTGGAATAACAAGAGTTGTTATCAACAGCGACTGCTGCAGTACAGACATGTGCAACAACAAAACTCCAGGTGAAAATTCTCAGATAACCGCAGTGAAAAGAGATTCCCTCTCTTTTCACAAGATACTTCTTGATTTTTTTTTTTTCCAAAGCAAGCAGCAGTTAGACCTGCCCATTTTCACCCTCACAACTTCCTTCTTGATACACATCCATTGCCCCGCCTATTCTCAGAGGTGGTTATGCCCAGGGGAGGAAGTGTAATAAAGATATTGATCTTGAAAAAGATAAAACAATTGAAGTTGCAGACATCCCCTTTCATGATTCGTCTCTTGGGACATAAATGTGTTTGTGGAAAACATGTGTCCATTTGTTACTGAAGTCCGATTCTGTGAAGCTTTCTTCCCAGAGTTAAAGTGAACAAGTTAAAGTTAAAGCGGGCTAGACTTGGTCCAGTTAAATTGAAGCAGTTACAGTTAAAGTGAACCAGATCAAAATTGCATGACAATGTCAATCTGAAAGAGATTCCGGCAAAAAAAAAATCCTATATTTTATAAAAAGAAACTGTGTTTTTCATTAATTTAAGCTGTCTGCTCTGACCTGTGTGTGACGTCATAGCGGGTTACGCCCATGCATTAAAAAACCAACTTACCTATAGTCTACTGGACATCTCAGTGCCAATGAAAAAGAACGAATATCAAATTGTAAAAAATACCAAGCGTTGAAACGTACCCACTCTGACGTCACCAAGGGCTGTGAAGTTTTTTCGTCTCTAAGGGCGTTGCTAAGGGGTTATTTCGATTTGGGGGGATCAGACAAAAAAAACAACAACTGATTTTGAAACCTTTAGTAGTTCTCTTCTAATATAAAATGGTATTAAAACTGTATTTCTAAATAAATCAAACCTGTCATAAGGTCTTTAATTTGAATAAACAAGATGCATGTAAAACCAAGCAGGTGTGGAAAAACCAGTCCATTCAGAGTAGTCTTTAGATTTAACCATTTCCATGACTAGGTGTGTGAGCCCGACTGTACTGTAAATAGAATATGGAGAATAATGCAGTAAATGAATGTGCTTTAATCTGCAACAGCTGCTCCTTCTGATAGCTCAGCCAGAAATTATTTTATGCTCCTTCAGACCCTCTCTTTCACAGATAGGGCCTCTTAAAACTTGCGGAAATTAACCTGTATCAAAACGCCTGTGTAATATTTAATGTTGTTCACAAATTAAACCCCAGACTATGTGAACGACACAAGAGAGAAATACAACCTAAAAGGGAAAAACAGACGAGTAAAATGCACCAACTTCAGTATCTGCTGCAAGGGCCCTCGCATCTGGCATGAGCTTGACGAGGACATCAAGCAGTCTCTCTCATTAGCCATATTTAAAAGAAACATCAAACAGCGGCTCTTAGGACGCTTCTGTACTGCTTGACTAAAACTGTATCTCTCCTGGACTCCATGTATCTCCTCTTACAAAGGAAAGGGAAAGCACACATTAATGGTAAATAATATAAAACAATAGTGATTATGATAACACCTAATAAAATAAAATAGTATTAACAATGAGTGTAACATTGAAAATAAAAATAAATGGAAATTCATGTAAACGATTAACAACGTGTGTGTGTGTGTGTGTGTGTGGTAGTGTGGGTGTGTGTGTGTCCATTTTTCTTTTCTAATTTTCGTATCTCAAATTTAACCCATCTCTGTTTTCATGCCATCTTTTTTTCTGTTTGACTTTGTATTGTTGGACCCCGCACATAAGCTAGTGTAGCTTAGGGTGTCCATTTCTCTTTCTCAGTGTCATGAAAAATGGATACAAACTCAATGCATGAGTACATGTTTGATATTGTGAAGAAGAACAAACTGAAACTGAAACTCAGCTGCTGGTGAATACAGGGCGCGGTGAGTGCCATGCAGCTGGTGTCTCTGATGCAGCTGGTGTCTCTGATCTCTTTCTTCGTCCAAAAAATTGTGCGAGTAAATGTGATTGGATCCCTTTTTGTGTCTCATATTTTATTTAAGTTTTCATGTTTATATTTCCGCAATACATTAACAGAGGTACATTCAAAATAAATACAGACATAGGACAGTCTGTAACCCCCCCACCCTCACCCATCCACTCTCCCACCTGTCACCTACTCACCCCTCCCACCTTACACCTCACACCCATACTCCATACATCCTCTCGCCTCACCCATTAACTCATCCTCTCCGGTGGGATTGGGTTCTTATCCTTAAGCTCTTTGATGCTCTTGAGTTGGAGATCTACTGAATTTGAACATTTAAGAATGTGTTAGAATTCACTATTATGATATCAAATTAAACAAAAAAAAGTTACTGTTAAAGTCTATGGACCATAGTTTGTCAAAAATAAAGCTTAAAGCTGGTGTAACTTTTTGTTTTGTGGAGAAAGAGTCAGAACGAGTCTTGTTTAACCCTATTATGGTTTCATCAACCATTTGGTAGATCAACTTTTGAGTCACTATAAACTTTAAATATGCTTGGAACTGAAATCTACCTCTTGGGGGCATCTCACTTGATTGTAGGTACTTTTATCATCAAACTGCAGCTCAACAATTTGGTGCGGGCCTACAATAAAAAATAGGCAATCCACCAAAGAAAAAAAATACTAATCAGACCACAACGAACTGTCTTTATGTTATTGTAACATTTGAACACTGTGAGTTGAGTCAAAAGCTGTTTTTCACTGAAAAATATGATCTGATCAAAACACCTGCATTGGAAAACTAGTGTGCTATCAAACAGATTTGAGAGCGAGGAACTAATTACATAAATGTTTTACATAGCAACATGTGTTTTCAAAGTTAGGTATTGCAGCTTTAATAGTATAATGATTATAAATAATAACGATGATATGTCTTTTTAACGTAGTATAAAAAACGTTATTAATATTGTTTATTTGGCATCATTGAAAAAGCTAACTTAAGATTGTACTGACGCACAATAGGTCTCCAAAAGACTACGCCCAACGGGAAGAAGTGTTATGTCTGTGACGTAAGCGGAGACTGCAGCGCCACCTTGAACTGTGAGGGGAATGAAGACCAGTGCCTCAAATCCACAGGTGAACCACCACCACACGTTTTTGATCCTAGTATTGTTCATAATCATTGTTATGGATGCACCAATCCAGATTTTCCAGTCCCTACTTTCTGAACTTTGCCTGGACTCTCCTGAAAAATATATTCTGAAATCTCATCAGTTTTAGGTTCAAGAAATGTATTAGTTGATTTTATAAATTGAGAATCTAGAAAGGTTTCAATACTAGTTTCAGCTTTGATTGAAGGGTGAGTATGTTATAATTTATTTTCATCTACATTTTGTTATGTGTCCCCAGATAATGGTTCACAAGCACTCATCATATATCGTTTAAAATGGAGAAATCCCTAATTAAAAAACAATGGACATCATTTTCAAGCATAACATCCACTCAGAGAGTAGAATGAGGCTCTCAGTTTGTACAGTGAAATTCTGCTGGTTTTGGCTCTTTAAAAAAAAAAATTGAACCACACATTAATCTACAGATACCATACTAGCTAAACTCTAGCAGGTAGATTGTATCAGTAATGAGTGCTTAGGAGCTACATGTGTCACAGCCAGGAAGAACAAAAGTTGAATTGTCTTTGTAATGGTTCTATCAGACCCCTAATAGTGCATAGTAAATATTGTCCCTTCAATTATTGTCAATACTTTTGCAAAACCTGTTTCATTGTATGGTGTTGGCTCCGTGCCATTAAGATAACAGAACCTTTATTCGTCCCACAGTGGGTAGAATTTCTACATACAGGGAGCTCCCAACAAATACAATATACAGTAAGCAGCTGCTATGTTTCTGAGCAAGCTGTAAATGCTCCTCTAGCTTTAAATGCTTCTAATGCTAACAGGAGCAAACATGTTGTTTAGGTGGTGTCTAAGGCAGGCTGGAATATCTCCTGCAAATGAAGACATCTGATCAGTCAAACCTTATTTGCCGCATATCTGAATTTACAAAAGACATTATCAAACCATGAACAAAAACACCATAGAGAGTCCCTCAACATGAAAGTCCAAAACGGTGAGTGTGACACAAAAGGGTACTGAGTTCGAGGAGTTTACTGTTCAATCTAAATCAACAGGAGCCAGTGCAAAACTTCATTCATGAGCACGTCTCTATTGAGCTAGGGGGGTTGCACTGCCCATATACAGTCTACATATTTACATGCATGCTTTGTTCCACTGTGTCCATAGTGGCAGCTGCAGGTCAGACCATGACCATGAAGGGCTGTATCTCCAAGAGCCTGTGCCAGTCCAGCAGCATACAGATCCCAGGCATGAGCACCGACAGCCACTGCTGTGAGGGCAACCTCTGTAACGGAGTGAGTGGGGTCAGTGCCAGCCTCCTGGTGCTGGCCACAACACTGATCTCATTCCTGCTGCTCTCCAACTGAGCAAGTCCAACTGAGCAAGTCCAACAAGTCAGAATCTGCTGCTTTTAGCTTTCATCAACAATAGCTGTGCATGTAATCATAATATATTCTATGTTGGGCAACTCTGCTCATAGGTAGAACACATATGGGTTAATTCAGGATTTAAAATTGAGATTTGAGAGGGGATTTTTGAGCCTTATGTTGTAAATCTTTGTCAAATAAAAGTTGAACATGGTCCAGGAGTTGAGTTGGAATATCCCGTACATGCATCCGGTCATGTCGTCAGGTGACATCCTGTCTGTTGAAAGAGGAAATGAGAAACAACATACATTTTAATAACCCTGACATTTATCATAATATAAAGTAGATAGACGGACTCACTCAGCCATTTCAGACCTTCGAGCCATGAAAAAGAACAAGAACATTATTAAAATATAAATTAACATTTCTGATAATGTGAGACAAGCTCCTGACAATGTTCAAATGCAGGTTCATACAGTATGTATAGTTTATTTGAATGGGGCAGTGTGTATTCATAAACAGCAGTTCTGTAAATACCCCAGAAATCAGCTCTTTATAACTGAAATATGCTTTAAAAAAGAAAAAAAAAAGCGTTTTTTCTTGTTTTGTGAAGTTGTGGGCCTTTGTCTTGTGTTTGAATTGTGCTATGCAAATAAACTTGACTTGAAAACCTTTTCGGAGATGTTTAGTGCATCAGCAATACACGTTAAGTTACATATTGATAGATATATGAGAACAACAATGAAACAGTAAAGATTAAAAAAGCAACAATAACAAAATCTGAATCTGAGACTAGAATAGTATTCACTAGAAAAGTCTCACATTATTCTTAGATGAAAAGATATGCTGAAAATACAAAAATAAAAAGAGTGCTGAGAAATGAAAGAATGAAAAGTGTGGCATACGAGCAGAGCGACCAGAGACAAGCAGGATACAAGTGTGTTGGTGTGTTCTGGCGATCAAATAAAGACTGATTCTTGAATGTCTGAGGTGTTGTTGCAATAGCACCACACTGAGAGCGAGGGTCAGAACAAAGGGAGTTATCCCCGTAGGAAACGCTTTTCTTTGGCCCTGCAGCGACATACCCCCCTGCGCCCCTCAACCACGGTCTGGGGCTTATATGAAAAGTTTAACACAAGCGGAGAATACGAAACTGCAGGGAGAGACATGCGTGAAAATGCCCATCACAACGGAAGAAGTAATGTGACATACAAAATCAAGTCCCCACCACACCTCATCCCCCACACCCCACCACACGCCACAGTGACCCCCCTCATCTGGGCTTTACAAGCGGGCCCTAGCCCAAGTCTTCAAGCATGCTTGAGCGCGGTTGGGGCTATCGTGCCCAAGCCCACTTGCCGCGGTCACATAGCACCTAAAGCCCAGATCTAATTGCGAGCAGACTATTCTTCCTGAGAAGACGGAGGTCCTTTGATGTGAGCAGTCAGATGTTGCACATATTTTGACAGTCTTTTGTAGCTAGTGCCGTGTTTTTTGGGGTCGCATCTAGAGGCAGTCTGCCGTGTCTGGCGGCAGGCAGACCTCGAGCGACAGTAACCGGCTCGACAGGCTGATCAGGAAATGTGTCTCTGTGATGGGGAGAAGTGTGGACTCTGTGGGAACTTTGACGAAGAGAAGGATGAGGGCTCTAATGCAGGGTATCCTGGGTAACTCCAGACACCCTCTGCATGACACTATGGCCACTCATAGGAGTAATTGTAGCAACAGGCTTATATCACTGCACTGCCGAGTGGAACATTTTAAGAGATCCTTTGTTCTTCGGCTGTCAGACTGTACAACAGACCTGGATGAGTTTCTGCTGCTGGACACCAGAATTTCATCTACGGGGGATCAATAAAGTATCTATCTGTCTATCTATCTTTAGGCCAGGTGGGTAGTTCAGACACACCTTCAAGGATAGTTTTTCTGGTGAGTCTGTGGTGTTGTTGTTGTTATAGTCTTTGGGTTGGACAACACATAGATTCCTATCACGTCATCTACATTTGGTTGAGGGCCTCACAGAACTACAAATTCTTAGATAAGATAAGATAAACTTTATTGATCTCACATTTGGCATATACTGGTGCTGTTTACACAGCGACACTGTGACAGTAAATACAGTGCCTTGCGAAAGTATTCGGCCCCCTTGAACCTTTCAACAGTTCGCCACATTTCAGGCTTCAAACATAAAGATATAAAATTTTAATTTTTTGTCATGAATCAACAACAAGTGGGACACAATCGTGAAGTGGAACGAAATTTATTGGATAATTTAAACTTTTTAAAACAAATAAAAAACTGAAAAGTGGGGCGTGCAATATTATTCGGCCCCTTTACTTTCAGTGCAGCAAACTCACTCCAGAAGTTCAGTGAGGATCTTTGAATGATCCAATGTTGTCCTAAATGACTGATGATGATAAATAGAATGCACCTGTGTGTAATCAAGTCTCTGTATAAATGCACCTGCTCTTTGATAGTCTCAGGGTTCTGTTTAAAGCGCAGAGAGAACCATGAAGACAAAGTAACACACCAGGCAGGTCCGAGATACTGTTGTGGAGAAGTTTAAAGCCGGATTTGGATACAAAAAGATTTCCCAAGCTTTAAACATCTCAAGGAGCACTGTGCAAGCAATTATATTGAAATGGAAGGAGTATCAGACCACTGCAAATCTACCAAGACCCGGCCGTCCCTCCAAACTTTCATCTCAAACAAGGAGAAGACTGATCAGAGATGCAGCCAAGAGGCCCATGATCACTCTGGATGAACTGCAGATAACTACAGCTGAGGTGGGAGAGTCTGTCCATAGGACAACAATCAGTCGTGCACTGCACAAATCTGGCCTTTATGGAAGAGTGGCAAGAAGAAAGCCATTTCTCAAAGATATCCATAAAAAGTCTCGTTTAAAGTTTGCCAAAAGCCACCTTGGAGACACACCAAACATGTGGAAGAAGGTGCTCTGGTCAGATGAAACCAAAATCGAACTTTTTGGCCACAATGTAAAATGATATGTTTGGCGTAAAAGCAACACAGCTCATCACCCTGAACACAACATCCCCACTGTCAAACATGGTGGTGGCAGCATCATGGTTTGGGCCTGCTTTTCTTCAGCAGGGACAGGGAAGATGGCTAAAATTGATGGGAAGATGGATGAAGCCAAATACAGGACCATTCTGGAAGAAAACCTGTTGGAGTCTGCAAAAGACCTGAGACTGGGACGGAGATTTATCTTCCAACAGGACAATGATCCAAAACATAAAGCCAAATCTACAATGGAATGGTTCACAAATAGACGTATCCAGGTGTTAGAATGGCCAAGTCAAAGTCCAGACCTGAATCCAATCGAGAATCTGTGGAAAGAGCTGAAGACTGCTGTTCACAAACGCTCTCCATCCAACCTCACTGAGCTCGAGCTGTTTTGCAAGGAAGAATGGGCAAGAATTCCAGTCTCTTGATGTGCAAAACTGATAGATACATACCCCAAGCGACTTGCAGCTGTAATTGCAGCAAAAGGTGGCGCTACAAAGTATTAGCGCAAGGGGGCCGAATAATATTGCACACCCCACTTTTCAGTTTTTTATTTGTTAAAAAAGTTTAAATTATCCAATAAATTTCGTTCCACTTCACGATTGTGTCCCACTTGTTGTTGATTCTTGACAAATAATTACATTTTTATATCTTTATGTTTGAAGCCTGAAATGTGGCGAAATATTGAAAGGTTCAAGGGGGCTGTAGTTAGAGTTGGGTATCGGATTGGCCTTTCGTTTATATGAAGACGGTGTTCCAGGGGGGTGAAAACCAACACATCCTCACACACTAACGACAATATAGGTTGATTGTCACAGCTATGAAAACGACATATGAGGGCGTTTTTTTTTTGCCTGGCTGGGCATCAAGTTATCGTGATTTTGTTTTGTCTGGTCACGCCACACAACAACAGATCCAGGGACGCATTAAACAGCCACCTTCCGACCACCATCCTATATCATATTCTTTAAAGTACTACTCGTAAAATAGTAACCACATTTAAGCTATCGATACTTTAAAAAAAAAAATGTCATCAATGCAGTTTCTTCCACATTCAACAAGAACCAATCCAGCGCAAGGGTAACATATTCAAAATAAAACAATATTATCTTACCTGATGCAATTCAGCATTTTCCCCTCCAAAAATAATAATAATGAGTTTTCCGTGTGCCGTGTCAAATTCCGTGGGCTGGAAAGGCGCAGGATGTAAATCCACTCTTATCCAGTTCCAGGTGTTCAGGCAAAAATAAAAGTTCGGTAATGTTGAAAGTTCGGTAAAGTTATCTTAATATTCTCAGATTTGGATTCAACATCGCAATGCAGTAGTTTTTACCATTATCCAAAAGTCCTGTTTACTCCTTTTGAGGCTGCAGCATTGCTGTTTGCCGTGACGTCAGCACACGGTCATGTACTGGTTGTTGTATCGTGCGTCAGTATAGAACCAAATGAAACAAAAAATATAAGGAGCCAACGTGGTACAATGAGATCAAAAGATATTTCAACCATATTGTTTTAAAGCCCGTGATATTTTCTTCACTTACTGGTGAGTTCGAGTACCGTGACACATTTTTGGCGCATTTGTGCTCCGGATTCGCTCAGAGGTGTGAGGTTATTTTCTTGATTGTTCTTAATACGTCTAAGGACAAGAACACAAATAGCCTAACGATCGATCTTCAGAGGTGGTTTATATTGGTTGAATAATATAATTAAGACAATGTTGGCGACCAAAACTAACTGATTTTGGCCAAATGTGTCCAACACATTAAACGTACAGAATTAGATGTAATCAGTGGTCGACCATGTTTGCTTTTCTTTCATCGCTAATTTATGATGGACAAGCTTACTGCATAGTCTATGCTTATTCCGTTCTTCTACCATTGAAAGTAATTCCTCTCTGTGTTTCTTTTAGAAACATGGCTTTGAGACAGTTTGAGGAATGGCTAGAAAAAGGGCAAGTCTTTGGCAAAGGACCTGGC